CTGCTGTGGGGACACTGCCCTGTTATAGGGACATGGTGCTGCTCTAGTGACATGGTGCTCCTTTGGGGACACCTCCTCAGTGGCCCTAGCATGCAGGCTGTAGCCTCAGCAGCCCCCAGGGACCAGCAGGGCCGAAATCCTGTCAGGGTCCCGAGCGCTGCGGCTTGTGCGGAAGCGGTGCCCGTTAGTGCCAGCGCCGCTGGCACGGCGGCTGCGGTTTGCCGCGGCAGGGGACCAGCACGGGCACGTCGGAGCGGCGCTGGCGACGCCGCATTTCCCAGCAGGGAAGGGCCGGGATGGCAGCCCGGGGCCGGCGCTGCCTGCGGCGCTGGCGGCCGCGCTGCGGCACCGGCCAGACGGGGCTGAGGGGAACGGAGCTGCAGCGCCCGAGGGGCGCATGCGGGGAGCCCTGCGGCCTCCTGCCCTGCGCCCTGTCCGTGCTCGCTGCAGGGATGGTGCTGGGTGGTGTTGGGTTGTGTTGGACCATACTGGGAGGTGCTGGGCCATACTGGGCTGTGTTGGGCTGTGCTGGGCAGTATTGGGATGTGCTGGGCTGTACTGGGCCATGCTGGGCATTATTGGGCAGTGCCAGGCTGTGCTGGGTGATGTTGGACCTTGGTGGGCTGTGCTGAGCTGTGTTGGGCAGTGCTGGGCAGTGCTGGGCCATGCTGGGTTGTGCTGGACCATACTGGGGAGGTGCTGGGCCATACTGGGCTGTGCTGGSCTGTGCTGGGAGGTGCTGGGCCATACTGGGATGTGCTCGGCTGTGCTGGGCTGCACTGGGGCATGCTGGGCTGTGCTGGGCAGTATTGGACCTTGGTGGGCCATGCTGAGCCATGTTGGGCAGCGCTGGGCTGTGCTGGGCAGTGTTGGGCCATGCTGGGATGTGCTGGAGCAAACTGGGATGTGCTGGGATGTGCTGGGCTGTGCTGGGCCATGCTGGGCCATGCTGGGATGTGCTGGACCATACTGGGATGTGCTGGGCAGTTTTGGGCCATGCTGGGCAGCCTTGGTCCGTGCTGGGCAGCACTGGGCCCTGCTGTGCCCTGCTGCAACGCTCTCCTGCTTCTCCCGCCTGCACCGCTTTGAGGTTGCAGCTGTGGACCACACGCCGGCAGGCGCAGGACGCAGGCTGACCCGGCCGCCGCAATTAGCAGCGGGGCGAGGTTCAGCCCGCGCACCTGAACCACCGCGGGCGGCCTGACCCACACGTCCTGTATCCGCCCGCGGCTGGGAATCTCCTCCTTTGCTGGTCAGCGAGCTGCAATGTGGGGAGCAGCCTGCGGAGCTGCGGGGACGGCCGATGGGGACACGGGCAGGAGGAGGACAGGGGAGCGACACAACGGGGCGAGGAGGACGAGCGGGGAGGAAGGCGCGGGAGGAGCAGCCCCGATCCAGACAAGCCGCCAGCGCCAAGGGGCGATGCCGGCTTTAATTACGGGGCAGGAGGCGCAGGAAGCCCGTGGGAGGGGGAGGCAGGGGATGGTCCCAGTGCATCCCCGTGGGAGCTGGCACGTGGCCGGACACGGGATATGGGACAGTCCCGGCACGGGGGTCCTCGAGCCGCTTGCAGCCCCCTGTGCAACTGGCACACACGTCCCATGCCAGGATGGAGCGAGGGGCTGAGCCGGCGCTGTCGGGTCCTGCCCTGCTCCCTACTCGGGACCGGGGGGCTTCACGGGTGCAGGGACCCGCTGGGGGCTCCCACGACACCCCAAATGGGCACAGGGATCCAGTTGGTGCATGCGGGTGCTCCACTGCCATCGGGGCTCTGAGCGATGGTGCCAGGATGGTGCCGAGGGGACGGATCCGCTGCTGCGTTCCCAGTCATGGCACCGGCGCCAGGAACCGCACCGGGCGCCCGGCGCCGCTCCAGGCCCCGGGGCAGCGCTGGGATTGCCGGGCGGCTCCCGGCTGGGAAGGGCCGGAGGAATGTGCAGCGCAACCGGTGTCACCAGCGCCTACCCACGTCGCCGAGCGGGGGACACCCCGGGACATGATGACGGATGCGCGGGGACGAGGAGGTGCYGGCGGGGTGCGGCACCGCGGCGCTCGCGTGCGGGAGCACCGCGGCGGCTGAGCGCGTCCCCCCCATCCCGCTCCTGGCACAGTCCCTGCGGAGCTGCGGCRGGAATGACAGCGGAGCAGCCCTGGGAAAGCTGGCGCCGTGGCACTGTGCCTGCTGGCACCGTCCCCGTCCCGGGCATCACCGCGCGCTGCAACGCGTGTGCCAACCCAGGACCTGCGCCCGGCCCGACGCGCTCCCCTGCGCGCAGAGGGACCCTCGCCCCGGGGTGCTCGTAGAAAAAGAAATCTACTCTTTATTGTGGCGAGCCTGGCCGGGGTTACATTCAGCTCTACTGCTGTCCGTTAGCGGGGGCGGTGAACATGCGTCGGGGCCCGCGGGGCCGCGGGGGCAGCCGTGGGGCCGGGCGGCGCCCCGGGGGGGGTTAGCACCAGAAATGGGGCTCTGCTCCTGGCGCGGGGCCCGCGCCCCCCGCTCCGCGTTGCAGGAGCAGCCGCGACGGTGCAGGGCTCATCCTGCGGCTGGGGCTGCTCGGCAGCGCTGCGCGGGGCTGCATGCAGCGGGGCAGCGCTGCGCGGGGCTGCATGCAGCGGGGCAGCGCTGCGCGGGGCTGCATGCAGCGGGGCAGCGCTGCGCGGGGCTGCTGCGCACGCTGGGGTGGTGCTGCGTGGGGCCACTGCATGTGCTGGGGCAGCACCACAGGGTGCTGCTGCAAGTCCCCAGGCAGCACTGCACGGGGCCACCGCATGCGCCGGGGCAGTGCTTCATAGGGCCGCTGCACGCAGCAGGGCAGTGCTGCATGGGGCCTCCGCATGCACCCTTGCAGCARGTCCCGGGCCCTGCAGCGGCTGCTGCGGCAGGGCAGGGCTGCAGCAGCRGCGCCGGGGCGGTGTGGCGGGTGTCGGGGGGGTTGCATACGAGCCGGGCGCAGGCCCAGCGGGACGGGTGCCGGACGGACAGCGCAGCCCTCGGCGTGGAGAGTCCTGAGCGGGGCCGGGGGCCCGGGCGCCGCGGGCTCAGCGGCAGGGGCTGCGCCGCTGCGGCGGGGACCCCTCGGGCGGCTCTGCAAGGCAGCGGGCGCTGCGGCTGCGTGCCCGGCGCAGCAGCACCAGTGCAGGGCGCCGGGAGC